GGTTATGATCCCCAACTTCAGCTCCGCTTTTATTTTCCTAGAGGATGCAAAAGGCTTGCTTTTGTTGAAGCGCATTATGCGTCGGTTCTCTAAATTTGTAGTTTGCGTAAGGCACCACGTTTTTCGGGCTTCAATTCATAAGTTATGGCATTGTACACCATCTTGGCAGAACACTTTAAACGACTTTGCATTTCTTTGTATGTTTTCCTCTCCTCTCTAAGCCCAACAATCTAAAGCCTATCTTCCTTGGAGCAGAGAGGTCTTGTACCCACTAAAATTTTCAATTTTTCATTGTTGTAGTCTATTGTCATTTAAATTATAATAATAAACTAAATTACTCACTATTCACAATTTTAAAAATTTTATCGGCACTTTTCGTTGAGAAAAATTAAATACTGCTGTCTCAGTGAACAGCCAAAAAGTGGTAGATTTTCGCAAAAATATCAAAAAAAAAGTACTAAACACATCAAATCTAACGGGGTTTTTACTTTTTTCTGTTCCCTGTATTCCATTTTACAAAAAAAAGTGCAAGCGATCAACTAACAAAAAGGAATATGCAAAAAAACAAAACGTTATATATTTTCACTTCTCTTGCACTGCTATTTCAATGAACACAGCTGTAAGTGCACAATGCATTTTACATTTATTGTTAAACATGTACACTCATAAACACACATAGCGAAATATTTATTGCATAYATCTAATAACGTCTTCATTCAGTTGTTTCAATATAGTTAATTAAATTTATTTCCATTACATTTTCATCTGTAGAGGATGAACGGTTACCACAAAGATACGCCCGTTCCTGCTAAGTAACAATCTATCAGAAATTTTTTACTGATGTCAACTGATTCCAATCGGAATTATATTTCCACAAATATCATGGTGTTGAATTTCAAAAGAATAAAGAAAATTTTAATTTAAAATTCAGATCGTTATTTGGATCAATAAATTTAAAAWTTTTCTGAGATTCAGAAATTCTGGAAAAAACGCGTTTTCGGTCATCTAACTGCATATATCCCTTTAACAGATTTTTAGAGATTTTATACAATACTATTGTCCCAGCTTCATTTTGTTATTCATAATATTTTATCACAAGTGGCGATGACAATACTGTACTAGTTTATTTATATATTTATGGGAAATACGGTTATGTATTATATTGAAGCAAGATTTCTCATTACATTTGCTGCAAAATATTCTTAGCGATTAAGTGTTGCCAAATATTTTCTAAGACAATAAAATATTAYTAAAATTTTCTGCTTTAATTCTCTCAAAAGAGCCAGTTTATCGGCGAAAAGATCACTATGTAGCAATACAAGGTAATCAATATTCCCACTGGTTCTCAAACGACTGCTACTGTTTTAACAACAAGGTAGATAATGTCTACTAAATATCGATAAGAAAATCAATTGTTTCCTAGACAAACAGCTCGTTTACAATCTTTTTTGATGACAAGATGATAAATTGAATTTTCACTGATGTCACCGCCACAATTCGCCTGGAAACGCTATTGCCTAAATCTTCACATACTTTTTTAGTGATGGAGTTCCATACTTCTACACATTTAGAAAATAATGCCGGCTTTSTTGTAGGTAGACTATCATAATTATGTACTCTTTTAAACAACTCACAGATTATCGATAGAATTAATATCGGAACTTTGACGATTTTGATACTCTCCGGATTCCCCAATTTCTACAATGAAGAAAAATATCTTTGCCTTAATAAGAAAAGTCACAATTGGTGAAGAAAAGGTTTTGCTAATTGAGATTCCAGTAACAGAAAACTGCTTCATATCACATAGTAGTGTGTGCAAGGATGGTAAAAGCTACATAGGCTCCATCTGTCACGTGAAGGACCCTATATTATACATTAATTAGACTTCCAATAAGCCGAAATTCATCAAAATTGCGTAYAACAAATTCAATGAATCATTTCGCATAGAGTAAGCATGGGATAAAACTAGGCATATTTCTTATGCGTACCATATTCATACAGATATATATTATTATTCAAAGAAATATTCAAATTTGTAAATATTTTATTACTAATTTTAGGTTATCTGAATAACTTTATATCCTCAGTTGCCATATAAAATATTTGTTTAAAGCTATATATATGAAAATTCGAGTTCATTCCGGTGTATATATATTATATATTTCACTTCGCTGTAACTTGTCTTTGCACATCGCTGCATAAAATACGAAATAAACGCAGGGCACGTTGAACTATTGGAAGTATTGACCCTTTAAGCAGAAGCAGACGATCAGCAAACGGAAAACGGAAAACGAACAAGCAAACCAATTATTGCTTGAGCATGTACAGGCATATAACTGTACATATACTATATAAGTAAGCATATGCAAAATCAGTGCAAAAATCAATGACCCGACAAATCTGTGTGAAATAAAGCGGTCATGTGGCAAGTACATTGGTGTAACCCGCTTTTTGCCACGCCATTTAGAGGTTACAATGGCGGACAACTATATAAAATAAGAAAGTGACACAATTTCTACAAAAATCCACTGGTTAAAACGCAAGTAATTTCCAGTAAATTGCGTGTTAAAGYATACGCCATGGGCGMCTCAAATAGCTATTTGCTTATGGCKGTTGGGTTTCATGAGTTGCTGCTGTTGACACTTGGACCGATTGTAGCCGCCATTGTCTGGCAGACTATTAAATCGCAAGTTTAGTTGGTACTTTTTGGGGCGCAATCGCGTCAAAGATTTTATGCTTGCGTTGGGAGAGAAACAGATGGGGTGTGCTTTTTAGAGGAGAATTGTTGCCGCTATGTATGTGAGTGTGTAGGTGTTTGTGAATTGGTTTACGATTTGTATCGGCTAGTCATTTGCAACACTATTATATTGGGAATAAGTATCTAACTCTAGTTTAGTTCGGTAAAGGAAAATACAGAAGGTTATCGAATGCATACAAAGTATAAGATGTTGGTTTGCGAATGGGAAACTGAATTTCAGGAAAAAATTTTTGTGAATATTCACATAAACAAATACGGATATGAAGTGTTAAAAGGACCAAGCGAAATATTATGACTAGGAACATGAGTAAGAGTGGGAATATGAGTATGAGTATACATATGAGTATGGCTAGGTATAAAAGTACAAGTATGAGTCTGAATATGAGTATGAATCTGAATCTGAATAAGAGTATGAGTATGCGTAGGGATATGGGTATGTATCTGGATCTGAATATGAGTATAAGCATACAAATGAGTATGAGTAAAACTATAAGTATGAATCTGAATATGAGTACGAGTAGATATTTCTATAAGTATTAGTATAATCATACTCATAGAATCTGAATCAGGATTTAAGTATGAGTGGAAATACAAGTATGAGTTTACATATGAGTATGCGTAGAAATATGAGTTGCCACGTGAGTCTAAATATTCATATGCGTATCACTACTAATATACTTATGAGTATATCTACACACAATATACAAAAAAACATTTCATAAATATACCACAAGTAAGAGTAAAAAAGTATAGATATTTGGTACGAGTAAGATAAAAATGTATCAGTCTAAATATGTACAAGGTCCGGCACTCGAAGTGTAAMCAATTAAAAAAGCCATAAATTCAGTTTGGAAATTTTTTTTWTWWTTATTTWAAAGTACAAGATCTGCGAAAATRATCATAWATTCAGSACCAATTCACTTTTGCTCGATATGACCACCTTTCGCCTTGAGACRGTCAAAAAATGAACCGCAAGYCAACTCACGACAATGGCTTACTTCAGCATCTCGAGACTGGTGTATTTTCTACTTCGRACCTTGCTCTCCAAAATGGCCCAGAGAGAATTATCTATTGGATAATCGCGCCTTGTGAGACGGTGCTGAGTCTTGTTGAAAAGTGAAAATTTTTTCATCAGAAAAGATAATGTTCGGAATTTGACCGCTTTCGGCCAAGCGAAGCAACTGCTTCGCTCTCTCAAGCCTTACTTATTGCTGCTTCGGTGTGAGATCTGCGCCTTTTAGGACTTGTAAGGCTTGACCTTCAGCTCATTTTTCAATATGCGTCGGATGCTGCGGTCGGCTATTTTCAGTTCTTTAGCCATTTGGTTGGCACTTCGTCGTGGATTTCGCTGAAGTTGCTTCTTCGCTTTCCGAACCATCTCACGTGACGTTGCAGTCTTTTGATRACCACCTCCATGGCGTTTTGCGATGCTACTAGTATCATTGTAACGCGTGATGGTGCGACAAACAAAATCCTTACTCAGATTAACGTGTTTGAGCTCACGAACAATTGCTGGCTGTGATTTTCGAGCTAAATATAAAGCAATCACACTATTATGTTTGAATTCCGTCGCTGATCCCTTTCTTTGCGTTCACTTTTGGCAAAACGCTTTTGTACACTCGACAACAATACTCCGAACTGCCACTCAGCAAATTTATAAACAGCTGATACACTTCGAATGCCGGACCTTGTTTGTATTATATATGAAAACCAATGCGGATATGGATATGAACAGAAATATTCGTTGATATTTAATGAACATTAATTTGAATAATTGTTTTTAATTATATTAGTATGGCTAAGAATATGTATATGTATGAGTACGAGTACAAATATGAAAAATACCAATATTGATATACTAATCAATTTCCTTCTTTCTTCTTGTCATTTCATGCAAATCACCAATTAATTTCGCCTACAAAATGCTGAAAAACGCCATCAACTCACCGCTCATGGGCTCACCAAAATCCATAACAAATTCAATTTGATGCAATCGGTTGTCGTATTTTCCAACGTAATGCCAATTAATTGCAACGCCAACAACAAATGCAATTATAATTGACTGGCCAACTCAACGATGAATGTCGACAATGTTAAATGTCACACGTGTCACCCCCTGATGGCTACCCCCCTGGCTACAACTCGCCTGACCGTTGACTCGACCAAACCGCTGCTAATCAACTGCCATAATATTTATACACYTGGTCATTCGTAAATTGCGCCATCCCACCGACATAAATCTATGCTCATATTTTGCTATTRTGCGACTCGTGCATGCACGGRCCGATTGCTTGCGGTGCCGTGGTGCGGTTGGTGGTTGCCTGGTGTAGATGCCTGTCATCCATATGAGCCGTTCAAGTGTCCGGGTGATGGTAATTGCATTTCAATTCAATATTTATGCGATGGTGCGCCCGATTGCTCCGATGGCTACGACGAGGACATGCGACTCTGTACGGCAGGTAAGTGAAAACACATTCGTGTGAATAATGGCGCTGGTGAAAATTAGAGTGGCGCTAGCTTGTAATGCCATGAAACCAAGAGGCGCAAAATATTATTAAGCGTAATTGACAATCACATTGGYTGTATGAGCATTTGATTTCGTAATTCCAGAGAGCACAAAATCTTGATGTGAGACAYGAGAGAGAGACATAATAGTAMAAACATGAGAGAGTTCGGCGATATWTAAATACAGAATTTATGATTGATASATRSATATGWAGTTAAAGGCGCMGTAATTTATAGCTAGAATATTTACATTAGAAAAMAATTTTTAGAAGAGATTTTAAAATTTCTGATTTGAAGGGATCTGGCAAAAAAGTACTTTTAAATACCATAAATTAGTTCTTATGTTTATTTATATATTTGAAATGTATCCAATAACTTAAAAATATACGAAAGACTGTTACCACTTTTGAGTTGGTTTTTGAATTCGATCCACCTCACCTAAATGAAGAATAGCTCAGGCAACTGCTACTCACATATTCACAATTCTACTCAGTAAAAATGCATTTGCCTTGATTGCTGAGAGGTKTCCATAAMAACCCACAACAAAAACAGCAAAAGAAACAACTGTGTCGAGTGAATTGTAYGAAACACGCTACGAAGCGCTGGCTGTCAAATTTGACGAATATGCTCAGCTCGATGTCAGTTGCTCGAAATGCATTGGTCAGGAGATAAATTGCTTTTTAAGCCTCTAAAGCTCGTAGGCGAAAACGGTGACAGTCGCGTGGAAGCTGCCACACATATACATACATATATATAGTACATATGTACTTAACATACGAACGTTCAGTATAAATATACGTTTGGGTGAGTAGCAGTATGTAGGTGGGACATACTTGCTGACAGCTAACGCGATTAATGATATATGACAGTTGAAATGCAATATTTGTAAGGTAGACTTCCCAKTTTTAATTAATTTTTGCGTTTTCATAGTAGTCTTCCCTTTCACACGCCACGAAACACCTACGTATGAGCTCTGGGTTGGCCACTTGTCTTACCCTTTTTCACATCAATCAATGTTAATTAAGCGGGATAATATGTTACAACTAACGGTATGMCAAATTTACTTTTTATTTTATTTTTTCTACTAAATAGCTCAAAAAATTAACAAATAAAYAATGTCCCTTAACTTGGGTAGCGCCGTAATTTCTTAGTGAGTAACAGACGTGTGAAAAATTAAATGATCGATAGGTATAAAATTGAGGGATTAGTTTCATTATATATGCAGACAGACGGACGGTTAGACATAGATATATAAGGGTCATTTGGGTCAAGAAAACATGTCAGCTTAACTACATTGAAAGACCACACATTTATTAGCYGATAAATAAAAATTATTGTATTAAGGGAATAGATGACACTTGCAAATAAATACAAGAGCATTCAAYGGTCGGCGCTCATCAGAATGTGTAGAGCACTAAGGTCGCGAAACCGAACTCTGGCGGCTCCCTCTCTGCCCATATACCGACACGGGAGCTAAGCGTGGGAAGAGCTGCTGGAGGAGAGGGACAGTGAGCTTATTTAAGGATGGGTAAAAGCTTGTAGTAAAGGATGGTTAAGAGGTTTACTGTCAGGAGCTCTCTATAAACTCGAGCTTGAGACTTTACTTCTATTGTAGTGTCTCCCAAGCCGAGGTTGCAGACATTAAGGTAGCAATAGTTCTGCTGCTACGGAGTACAGTTTTCTTCAGAGAAGTGACCATTCACTCAGATAGCAGAGCGGTGATACTAGCATTGAATGTTGTAAACGCCTTTTGGCCCAAGCTTAATCGTAGAAAAAGGCAGCTAGCACAGAAGACTATGCCCATGTTGGACAGGTGTTTCCTGAGCTTGCAGTGCCCTGTGTAGATCGCAACGAGGAGACGGAATTTTTCACGGRAGAGGTGAATTAGTTCCTTGAACCTGGAAAGATTGTACCCGCATACTTGCTACCTGCTGCCAATGCCGTTCTCTCTCCAATCTCTCCTTCGTGCGGAGCAGCTCCTTAAGAGTGTGGTGTCCTACCGCTATGTTTGTTTCTTGGACGCTGCCGCAGCGCGGGCCAGTTCGTCGGCCTTCTCGTTTCCTTCTATTCCCTTGTGCCCAGGCCCTCAAATTAGGTTTACCCGGTTGCACAAGGACAGGCGTTTTAGCCTTTCTATGTATTTCTCGCCTAAAAGCGATTTGATCTCATATGCTGAGATGGCTTTTAGTGCCGCTTGACTTTCACGGAAAATAGCTATGCCCTGGTTGCGGCTGAGGTTGACTTCAGCGCAGCGACATATGGCAAAAACTTCAGCCTGGAAGATTTTTGGGAAGCCTAACATAGGTATGGACAGCTTAGTACGCGGTCCCGCAATATCTGCCACAATACCATCCGGTGTTTTTGAGTCATCAGTGTACTACTGAATGGTGCCGTCTTCCAGCAGCCTTTACAGCGGGGAATCACTCCGTTTTGCTGCCTACAGTAACTTTGAAATTATTTTTGAGGTTTATTTTCTTCGTGGTGCCGTCTTTTGGGAGGAGTGCTAGCGGTGTGCTTTCCGCTTGTGCATCCATCTGTCTAGAGGACATTATCTTTCCTTCTTCTGCACAGCCTTCTGCTGACATTAGCAGCATGGTTTGCTTTGCTTCTGGCTTGATCACCCAATGCAGCGGTGTGAGCTCCAGTATGGCTTCCAGTGCCACCGTGGGGCATGTGCGCATTGCYCCCGAAGCACAGACACAGGCAAGTCTTTGCAGCTTTGACAGTCTCCGAATCACTGAAGACTGCGCTACTTTAGTGGCCCAGGCAACCGCTCCATAGGTGACGATAGGCCTTACACCCCATGATCTGCTGGCCAGGCGTCTGCATATSATAAGTGCTCTAGTTGCTTTGGACAGCGTTGASCCCTACTCCACCGTAATGATGAGTCTAAGGTGAGGCCAAGGAATTTGATTGTTAGGGACCTCAGGCCCGGAAGAGATCTCAGCTTARTGAATGGGATCACGGTAGTTTTTTCTGGGCTGATATTTAGCCCTACTGTGTTGCACCATCCTTTCGCCAGGTTTAAGCCCCTTTGAACAATGTCGCAGAGAGTGTTCTCAAATCTACCTCTCGCCATTATGACTATGTCGTCCGCRTACCCTTGACAGCGGATTCCATTGCCCTCAGAAAGGCTAGCTTCACCCTAGTAGTGGGGCCTTTAACACGCCATTCCTAGTGGCGTCCATGCTGTAAGGTTGGAAATCTTACCAGATGCCGTTTGCAGAAGCTATATGAAAGAAGATGAGGTGGAAACAACTCAACAATTCCTTCTTGGCCGTACCGCGTTTGGGAGGTCAAGACCAAAGCACTTGGGAGCGCATAMCTTCAGACATCGCAACGAACTAGCGGGAATTAGCGTTTTGCTAATCTAGATACGAACTTCTTCTTTTCCATGGCTTCAGAAAGGACTACATATACCAGCCGACATGCGATCTTCGATCAGCCATCTGACCTAACATAAGGTAGTAAATGTAGATCCGAACCGATGCTGAAAGTTCCCAAGAAAACCATTAATTACTTGTATGGCGTATTGGGACTGGACGTATTTCACTTTTTTATACAATATATTACCTTGTCGTTATATTACAATAGCAARAGGCAGATAGCCCCATTATACATTTTCGTAGATTTTTAACATAAATAGGCTATTTGCTCAAGGCTTGTCGTGTTTGGCACTTGGGGGCAATATGTCGCAGATTTGAAAGATTTTGGATGATATTTGCTGAACATTAAAGGGAATATTTGTTCTCAATTTTTGTTGTTTGATTAATAAGTGAGAGAAACAGATAAATTATATGRAAAGTCGTACGAGAAGTAGACAGAATTGTAGTTCAAATTTGCATGCTTTAAAACCAAGCCATGCAATGTCACTAAAAATCTTTTCACTGATCATAGTTGATATAACTCAAATAATTCTGAAATACCATCAAAACATCGTAGATTTGTTTTACGTTAGTGGGAAGTTTGGATATCCAATTATTGTATGCTTGGCAGGTGTTATCAAAACAAAAATGGAAGGATTTCGCTTGAGATTTTACGTTTCCATAGTAAGCAAGGCTACAGAATTGTTGAAAGTATTATGCAGAAGTGTTTTGCACAGTCTACTTTATCACGAATCGAAATACTTGGTTGGCACAAAAMATTTAGCGAAGGTACTGAAGTCATCGAAAACTAGTGTGATGTAAGTATTCCGTACAACTTTGTATTAATGATAACACCGAAAACTTAAAGAAAGCGGGCTTGAAAATCGTTCYGTTGCCAACAAGGAATTAGTGTACGATTCATATCTTTGGCATGAAGCGAATCAATGCTAGAACCGTACCAAAGTATCTCAATCTGTTGCAAAAGGGATGCCGATCCTAGGTTGGAAAGGGAGAATTGACAACGACGCTGAGGATCATACATTCGTCAAACCGTCATTACTGGTAAAAAAAAATGTGGGTTTATGAATATAACGTAGAAAGTGTCCAACAATTAGCGAATAGTGTTTCAAAAATATATCGAAAATGTAAAAAAAATGCGTTGAAAGCACCGAAAGCCTTCCTAATCGACACTTAGATACAAGTTTATGGCTTGCTTTGCCTCATGGTCCTATTTTGGAGACGGCAATTAAGATTTGTTCAAAAATACTTGAAAAAGTGATTTTGTTGTAGTGTCCCTTCTACCTAAAAATGTTGTTCAATCACAGAGAGCCCTCACTAATGCTGTGAAGATACTAAACCAGAACTAAAAGCTCSTATTATATTATTGGAGATTTAAGTGATATGGATGTATCATTGGTTTACTAAAGACTAAATATTTGATTTCTCAGAACTTAGAAAATCACTAAATCATAATATATAAAATACATCAGAAGACCATTCAGTTTCACTAATTAAAAGTACTTTGCTTTGTTAAGCAATCTCATTGATCCAACTTAATATATAGTAAAACCACCAAAATGTTGAAATAA